AGAAAGAAATAGGATATGGTTACGGGGGTTTTTATGAAAAAAATAAGCAATTTCTTTTTTATACATAAGGGGGCATTAGAGAGTTAGGGAACACTCCTTAACATTTTTGTTTAGCTAGTGGGTTATAGAAAGGTCTATTGGTTTTAACAAAATGCTTTGGGGGGGGGGACTAAGGTGTTCAGTCAGTGGTGGATCTATGTAGAAGCCAATGGTGGGCACAGTTGTCCTCATATTTTTTGTTATTATAATTGCCCCCACTCAAATAAGATAATATGTAGTCAAATAAAATTTAACTTATTAAATGGGGTCCTTTTTTTTCATGGATTTAAAAAGCCCGAGAGGTGAGGCCAAAGGTTGCCCCCACTGATCAAAGGACCTAGATTTGCCACAGTGTTGAGTTTTGAATCGATCAATACAAATTTACATGAAAAATATGTTTCTATTTAAAATGTTCTTAAAACATTTCGAGTCAATCAATACAAATTGTTATTTATACCTAAAATATCATTTTTCATGTTTAAAACAGCAATGGGAATTAGACTTGGCAAAAAGTTGACCCAACCCTTGAACCTGATCCAATTCAACCCGAAAAAACAGGGTTAGGGTCTCATATTTAGCTACTTGAATTTGAGAATGACTCAACCTGGCCCAACTCGGAAAAAACTGGGTTGGGTTGGGTTGAGCCATAGGTCAATCCCAGTGACCCGATTGTTAGGTCTAATTAAGACTATTTATGCATTGCTAGAAGTTTCCACTCTTTAATTTTTACTATTTAGTCTTTACTCTTTATTGTTTACTCATTGAATTGTTAAATGTTCAAGTTTTTTTTTTATTTTATATTTGAAATTTTAAGGTTAATTCCTTTAATTTTGGTATTTTTCGTGTACTTTTTCTTTATTTTTTAAATTTCAATTATTTTGTTGGGATGACCCAAATTGACCCATGGGTCAACCTTAACCCGAACATTTTAGGGTTAGGGTCCACAACTCAACCTGAAAATTCTACTAGAAGTGTTTTGACCCAACCCAAACCCAACACACCCAACCCAATTGCCAATAAGGCTATAACTTGGGCCGGCTTGACCCGAACCCAACCTAAAAAATTTGGGATGGGTTGGGTTGGGCCAGGTTAATGCTCGGATTAGGATTGAAATTTATGAACCCAACTTTACTTCGGGTTGGGTTAGGGTTGACTCCTCGTACAACCCGATCCCGACTCTATAGCACATATCATATATAAATATATTATATATATGATATATCACACATTGATTTGTTTAAATGCATGATAGTTGTATAGCCCCCACCACATACTATCATTTATTTATTTTAAGATAATCACTTCACTTAATCTTAAATGGAAATACTAAAACCTTAATAACATATTTTATGTTTTTTGAATATTTTATTCTTTATCTCCCCTCAATTGTTTATCACCCATAGCTTGATGCCCATAAAAGATATATTATAAGTCATAAGTCATAATAAATTATATTAATTTCAAGCACTTCTTTTCCTAATTTTTGTACTTAAAAGAACCAATAAAAACATCAACAAACAAATACTATAATAAAACATAGGATTAATATATGTAGTGAAAGTTGAGTTAAGATATGAGATTAAGAAGTTCTATGAGATTATAAGGGATGGGAAGAAGGTTGGGTTGGGCCCAACTTGAGCCCAGTCCAATCTGAAGTTGGCTTCGGATTGGGTTAGCGTTGAAGGAATTTAGTTAGGGACTTAGGGTTAGGGTTAGGGTTGAGTTAGGGTTAGAGTTGGGAGTTTAGAATTTAAAATTTAGGACTGGGCTAGGGTTGGCCTCAACCCAACCTAGCTCCGCCGGCTCAACTTATAGCCCTAATGGCCAAGTCTAATGGGAATGCAATGCCACTTTACCAAACATCCCTAAGTTATTCTTACACGTCTCATTTATGTTGATTGGAACTATCAATGAGTGGGTTCATATAAAGGTTTCTCTTTGTCAAGTAAATTTTATAACCATCAGATTTTTATCCATTGTATGTTTTTTTTGGAAGATAAACAAAATATATTAGAGCAAAGAAATATGTACAAACTGCTCAACTCTCAGGATCCCTTCAGGATAGTCATTACATTCAAAATAAGGCAGTGGATGAATTTTTGCCTGTAGGGAAACCTTGTGATGAGGAATATTAAAAGTTTTGTTTACATGTTTGAAAAAAACGTGGAAATTTAAACGAGAAATTAAGTCTTGGTTCTTCGCAAAAGCCAATGGTAGAACCAAGGTAGAGGAGAGTCCTTGTGGAGAGCCTATATAACTTGAAGATTATCCAAGTAGATGCAAATTTCTTTTTGCCTCCAATCTTGTAATTCCAAAAAGACTTGCAAGATCGCAAAGAGTTCTGCTTGATCAATGGCAGAAGGGTGAGAAGTTCTCCCTCCAATAATTTTTAAACATTGAAGGTTTGTATTTAAAATCACAATACCGAAGGTAAAGGAAGAATTAGAAATTTTGCCTGCATCAGGGAAAATGATTAGTTTAGTAGTACAATTGATAGACAAATTTAACATATTACTGTGAGAGGGAGAGTGCAACAAAATTTCCAGTGTATGGTTCTGTGAAGAGTTTTGAGAAATGTTGTCGACTATAGTGAGGATTTGCAAGGGAAGAATTTGTTTATTTTCAAAAATCTTTCCATTCCTTGCATACCAGATATAATAATAGGCAATTGCAAACCAATTTAAAACTTGGAGGAAAAGCTGATTGACAGTAATTTGATTAGATAGATGTATAAAATATGTAGTTCAAGAGTGGTGAGGAGTGATGCTTAAGTCAAGATTCTAAGGATTACCAAATAAGACTGCTTGAGCAAAAGAGCAATGAAGAAATAGATGAGCAATAGTTTCTTCAAATTGGTCACAAAGAATGCATATTTTGTCTTTAGGATCTGAAAAGAGAGAAGTTTTCACAAGAATAAAGTTATTAAGAATTCGCCACAAAAAAATTGATACCTTGGAGCAACCGACAACTTCTAGATTTTAGATAAGCAAAATTTAAAATCATCTGAAAGTTGAGGAATATAATTTCTCTATTTAATTTTATATTCCTCCTTAACTGTATACTTTCCAGACTGATGTTGTATCCAAATCCAATGAAGATCATTATTTGAAGGAAAAATGGGAGTTTGTAAAATTTTCATAGATTCATCCCTTATGAAGTGTTGATGAATTATCAGAGGATTCCACTGACCTTCAGAAATGAGGGAAGAAATATAAAGATTTCTCAGGTGAAGAGAAATGGGAAAGGGAATCCAGTGGAAAGATTGATTTTTTTTGGATCCCGGGATGTTTAGAGATTAGGAAGTCAAAATTTTCATTGACCAGATATCCTAATTTAGATGCTAATTCTCAAAGTTTTGGGCAAATGGATATCCAACAAGCAGAGATATTAGATGAAGTAGTGTAAGGAAATATATTCTCTGATTTGAGATATTTAGATTTCCAATCTTGTGCCCAGTGTTTATGCTATTCATTCAAGAATTTCTGGGCAATTTTCTTGAGGAAGGTATGTTTTACCAGAGTGGGATTTTTGAAGCCCAGACCACCAAAAGCTTTCGGAAAAAACAGAGTATTCCAAGAACACCATCTATAGCGATGTTTTCGAGATTCTGAAGTTGTTTATTTTCGCTAGCAAAATATACCTAATTAATTAGTGGCCGGGTAAATTTTCTGATACCCTATCTACTTGTATGAGATGCTTCAATTGTGTCAAGTAGTAAGAAAACTACATAAAGCAGACGTCTCTTCTGTTTCTTTGTCCATTACCAATACCACATGCAATGCACATAACTTCCTTCTTTTCTTTCAAATGAAAATAGAAAATTTAAGTTCCAAGTTTTATGTTAGTTTCTTTTTCATATCATCCTGGTAAGTCACAAAATTTATGATTCAAAGATATATCATCAGCCCCAGGACTAATATTAGCATAGTCGAACCTAGACCCTTTTGATCCTTAAAAGTTAAAATTGGGGAGTTAAACAACATTAGACCAAGTCCCCGATACCTTTTTTTTTTTTTTTCATGATAATGGGCTACATTAAGGCTGTTCACAAAAATCATTAAACCGACTAAACGGTCCAACTCGATCTAAAAGTTGTTGGATTGGTTTTGGTTCATCAGTATATATAACCTGAATGGTCGGTTCGTTTTCAGTTTCTAAATTTGTAAGCCGAAATAACTGACCCAAACCGAACTATGTGCTGGCCGGGTTGGTTTCAGCTTGTAAGTTTGGAAGACAAATTTTCAGTTCATGAAGGCAAGATGTACACTTTGAACAAAAATCAACTATTGATGGCTGCACATGAAGTGCAGCTAATAATACTAAGGATCTATACTGTTATAAAATGGATATTTGCCTTATAGTTAAAATTATAACGATATAATGTTAAATTATATTTTATCTCTATATGGCATGTGCATTTACACTAGTAAAAACTGAGAAATATGAAATAATTAATTGTAGATAAAAGGAAAACGTAGAGCTAGAGCAAAAAAAAAAAAAAAATCGTAGAAATGAAAAGTTGAAGGTAAAAAATTAATGGATGAGTCAAATAAGGCTGTATTTGGTTACTTAGAAAACAAACAAGAAGCGGGAAATTGTTAAGGAATTTTGTAAAATGCCTTTAGGGCTTTCCACAAGTTTCATTTTTCTCACTAATTCTCTGATAAGCCAAATACAGCCTGTAAATAAAGAAATTTGAACCCAATTGTTTACAACTTGTTAATGCACGTGTTATCTTTAATCGTTCTACATCTGTGAACAGCTTCACTCTAATTTATTTCACCTATATCTCCATCACTACAAAATCTCATTCTCATAACTTTTTCTTTCTCAAATATTTTCCAAAACCAAACACAGCTTTACATTAAAATAGGCATACCTTAAACGAAATAAAATAATATAATATAATACAAAATGGTTGCTTGAGAATATATATATATATATATATATATATATATATATATTATATGGACAACAGATACTGAAACTCAAAATCATACGGCATCTTGTCAACAATGTCTGATACTTTCCCACTATTATGAAACCTGAGGCATTCTACTATTGATTTTCTTAGGGACCCAGATGTTGGTAACTGGTGGCAAATCCACTCAACCAATGACTCCACATCTCCTGCAAAATCAAGCATGTTTTGAAGAAGAAGCTCTGGAATGAAAAGTCTTCGGGAGGTTGTCACTACGAGTGAAGCTTGTAGGTACTCTACTTTTGATTTCTCCAACTCAGTTGAGACACTTTGAGCTGTATATATCCTCACCTACACATATGATATCACATTTGATACTTTTATATATGCTTCATTACTCAAAGGACACAAGAAAATTAAATGAGAATTAAACAAAAGACAGAAGGATTAAGATTTAAATGGGATACAAATTTTACAATTTTAGGGATCTTTTTCCTCTTTTTGATTTGCTTTGCCATACATATATACATATATGTAGCACATAGCAAGGTGTTGGTACAACCATGCCATTTAATTTAATGCTTGAAACATGGGAAGATCACTAAAGTAGGGTCTCAATTGGATTGGATTTGGTCCAATCTGATCCAGTTCAATGTGAGTCTATTACAAATGTACCAGGTCCAATCCAATCTGATGAATATTTTGGACCAGTCCAATTTAATGTTTGGGTCGTCCAATCTGTTCGATTTTTGTTTTTAATTTAGATTAATCACCTATATTCCTATCTTCTATCAATGGACTAGATATTGGCTCAATCCAACCTAATCCAATATAAATTCATTACGATGGCCCAGCTCCAATCCATTCCAATACATACTTTGGACCATTAAGTCTGAAATCCATTCCAATAAATACTTTGGACCACTAAGTCTGGACTGGTCCAATTCAATATGTCTTGTTGGTCTGTCCAAATCGATTTTGATTTGGACGGGTCCAATCCAAAACCGGTCCATTGACACCCCTACACTCAACTATTCAGATGATCATGAACATTTGATCCATGATTTTCTTTTAAATGTGGGCAAAGTTTGGCAATAATTTCAAGAACTTCATGCACTTACAGCTGGGGAAGATCGTGTCCCACAACACAGAGCAAATGTTACATTTGGCTCAGGAGAATCAAGTCCATAAATACTGCGTACAGTGGCTTCTTTGTCATCCTTCTCGACCTTCCAGTTTATCTGTGAAATATATCATATCAGGACGATTATTTCTTAGTTTACCACATGTCATTTCAAAATTCCAGTTTACCCTTCAAGGAAGAAGTTTCAAGTTTGGTGTCCTCACATCTTTTAACTTATAACTTGATTGTTGCCTTAGAATGAAATGTTCTATTGCTTGAGCATTTATTTTGTTGCCTCCTATGTTAAGGGTTGCCTGAATCAAAACCAAAACAACAAAGAACGACAAGATCGAATAAGGTAAATATCCTTACTTATTAATTCATTCATAATCCCTATTTGTTTGGATTACTTGTCAGTTGTCACCATTTGAATTGGTAATTAATGCCACAGTTCCACACCAAGGTTTAGAAGCTACACCCCTCTCCCACGTCCCACCCCAGAAATTGAAGCTCTGAGCATAACTTACGACCCAATCCATAAACCTAATCAGGCCTATACTATTTCAGCCCATTATGGACCAACACCAACCAACCAAGGCCATGGCTTGAGGTTGGGTACTTTGATCCAAGAGACAGAAATTGGCCTTTGATCCAAATAGCAGCTTAATTAATTACCTAGCCATATATGCACCAAAGTCTATACTTTATAGGTTTGAGTCTTTGGGGGTGGGAGGAGGAACAACATTGTTCCAACAGCACAAAAGTGTTTTTGTTAAAGAATAACATGAAGCATACCTTGTTCATTAATGAAAGCAATTTTTCAGGACTAGAAGGTACTCCATACTGGAGAAATCCCTGAAATGGTGAAGTAGGAATTAATATGATGTTCAAGAGAAAATGTCTACAAAAATGGAAAACAAAAAAGAAAACTGGATTTAGTCATATATACTATACATGCATGATACAAGCATTATACATGTTGATCCAGAAAGCTAGTTTCTGTTGGTCAGTCAAGAACCTCAAATCCACATCATGGAGTTTTTTCATCAATACCCTGTAACACAAAGGCAGAAAGAAGATCTACTTAACCATTCATTTTATGCACATACAGTACTATATTAATTATGAAAACCATTAATTTGCAACCAACCTTAGTTTTTGTAGAAGAGGAACAGAGCTAGAACTAGATATGCTTCGCGGGTCCAGCGAATTTGCTGCGAACCTAACCAAATTCTTATAAGGGCCAATATCCCTTGGAATAGAATCTTCATTGTCGAAGATACCATAGGGATCTTGTTGCTTTGATTCCTTCTGTGACGAAAGGCTCGCTTTTGGGCTTAAGATGCTTTCCATCCTAAAGCTTCTCAAGCTTAAAGATGAGTGGTTAGATCTAGAAACTGTGCTTGACTTTTCCAGTTCCATGGCTCTTGATGTTCTAATTAGCCTCACAAAGATAAAGATCAAACACTTCATTATGCTCTCAGATATCTTGTTGGGTTGCCATTTTTGACTGCTTTCTTCTGACAGATCTGTATTGGACAAAGATTTTGATGGAGGACCTGAGGAAACATCTGGGTAGTGCTCTCCTGGCTGAAAGAAGATGGTTTGGAACTTTTCATTAGAAGACATTATTCACATTCTTTATAATGATCACAGTATGAGTAGGTATCAATGATAATTCAAACCAGAGGATAGGGCTTATACCTTGCTTATTGGGTGCCTTGGCTGTAGACTGGGTGAGGATGGCTTCTGTAATAAACCACTTCTCTTCATCAAGACCTCTTGAGATATAACCTCTTCATGGTTATGATTTTCTTTCTGATCCATGGTTGTTGAAGTCTTCATTTTCTCATGGGTGTTGAAGTGGTTAAGTGTGTAATCACCTTTTATAGCCTTGCTTATGAAATGCAAAGCCTTGGTCTCTAATGCTAGCCTCTCATGGAATAAGGCATTGTTGGGTAGGGCCATTGAGTAATTTGGGAGTGAGGTGGACAGTCTATTATTGTTGCTTAGAGTTGTTTGCGCCCCTTGTTTGGATCTTGGTTCCACAGAAACTTCCTGCTCTCGACTCAAATCACGTTTGAGATGGCTTATTTCACCTTCTAGCCTTGCTATCTCATTCTCAACCATAGCCAGTTCTGCTAATAGCTCCTTCATCTATAAAATTCATTTTGTTGTTAAATATAACATATGACCATTTGAATGCTGCTGTATATATATTTATATGCATGAAGAAGAAGAAGAAGAAGAAGTACCTTTGGTGGAAGGAAGCTTGGGATATGAATGGTGGAACAATCATGTCGATTATTTGCAGACTCCAGAATCTGGTGAACTTTTTCTTCATGTTCTAACATTTTATGAAGCATGGAGACCTAATACAAATATGGAAGTAGCTAGTCATTCAGTCCCACCATGCATTATGTTAAAATATAATTCATTAAACAGAAGCCCACATGGGCAAGAGAGATTAACTGAAACAAAAAACAGAACTATTTTCATTACCTTCTTTGATTTTCATGTAAGTGAGATAATACATTAATACCCAAGTTAGTTTCCATCTTATTTCAATCAAAATAAGACCAAATTGTTTTGCTTGAAGGTTTTAGAACTTGAAATTTTTGGCGTAAACTATTCACCATAAGAACTTTGAAGAACATATATATATATATAACGCCCTAATTAAAAGCTTTGAGTAATATAACAAGAGGTTCTATTGCGTCAATATCACTTACATTCCTATTTTAAATAATGGAACCACAAACACTCTCATGGAATAGAATGGTGCTCTATCAAACTACCAGTACTGTACTTCTGACATTATGCATTTGCAGTTCAATTCATAGCTTGTTGAACTACGTATTCATGGAGTTTTGACTCTCCAATGTACTATTATATTTTCATTTTCTTGATGATCAACCAGATAAAGAAGTTATTCAAGCACCATGAAATCGATTGGCTACCACACTCATCTTCATTAGATCTACACAATATATATATACATGCATATATAGTATTCCGAATTCTTAATTAATTACAAGATCATTAACTCAAACCTTTTGAGGGATTCAAACTGTTTCTCTTCTGGGATGTAAGGAGGAATCATGCATGGATCATGCAGCACCAGTACTGTGACATTAGGCCTTCTTTTATTGCTATCCTTTTGCAGGAAAGAACTGAAGACGAGGGTCTTGTGGCTGTTAGTTGCTAGAAGCTAAAGATGGGATTCTGTACTGTTCTTCTTGGTAATAACATTTGACTTTGGAGCATGCATGAAAACGTGAATCTTAAAGAGAAGAGTAAATAACACCAGAAGACATGTCATGCAGAAGGAAAAATGAATAGGTATTGCATGTCTATGGTGTGTAGTTCTCGCCTCTGCAACATACCATCATCTGATCATCGTGGTCAGAAATTGGACCATAGGAGAGTAGATATATAGATCAGATCAGAGGTCCATCTCTACATGTGAAAGATCAACGTACGTATACCCACTTCCGATGCTTTTAATTCAATTACATTGTGGAAACTGGTTAAAGTTATTGTTGAATAATTCCAATTTCCACCCAAGTTTTCAGTTCCACGTTTCTGGAGAGATTAATTCCGCAAGAAATCATACACACATAAACACACAGAGATAGATAGCCAGAGAGGGAGGGAGGGAGNAAACCCAATCCATTGACAACCCTAAATATGTAACTCAGGAGAGAGAGAGAGAGAGAGAGAGAGAGAGAGAGAGAGAGAGAGAGAGAGAGAGAATGTAAAAGCTGTCTCAAGTTATTAGCTAGCTACCTCTTGTTCAAGCTCCTCTATTCTCTGTTGCCCACTGAGCTGCTTCTTTATCTGCAGTGGAAGAGAAAGCAAAAAAGAAAACTAAGAAACTAAAGAACACAGAAAGAAAGAAAAGAGACACACGCTTTGAAAATCACCAACATCGATCAAAATTTATTTCAAACGTGGGTCTAGCTGCTCTCCTAAATCGCCCACAGAGATCTAACAGCTATATGCATTTAATCATAGCGATCAAGAATTAATCGACATTGCAAGAAATCATATCAGTAGCCTACGCCAAGTGAGGGGATCAAACTTGAGACCAAAACGTAGAGATCCCGTCTCAAACCCATTAACAATTAACCCACCAGAATCTCTAGCAATTAACCCGCCATGAAGGAATTAACTGGAGATGATCAGTTTGCGTGAAACTAATTAATAAACTTACTCTTGGAGATGGAACACGGACTTGACTCGCCATTACGGAGATCGAACTGCAACTGATGAGCTTCCACCCAGTCCAATCTCCAGAGCAAACATTGAAACAGCTCGGGACGGTTTCCTCTTGGTTTAAGACGGAACATGGTCGACGCTTAGAACTCAAGAAATCCTTCTTATCAATTGCTGTTGGGTTTGAACGGACAAGTATTTGCTGCGAGTCGTAAGATAGGAAGTAGTTTTCGCAGTCGGCTTTGGTGTCCTGATGAGGCTCAGCTAACCGTCTCGGTTGTGGGTGGGACATCATGTAAGTGGTGGTTTGGTTTGGTTTTGGTTTGGCGTAGCTTGCAATTGCAGCTTTTGATGGTTTTCGGTTATTATGCTCTTTTTCAGGGAAAGCCTAAACATACGCTGTCTCATGTTAAATTACTATTTACTAAAAACTTGCCCAAAAAGACTAATGTGTCCCGGGTCTTTCATTGATCAAACTCAAAGTTTTACTGTAAATGGGTCTTCGAATCCGACCCGTTTTGGGGGCTGGCACCGACAGGTTTTCCAAGAAATTAATCCCTGTTTATGTTGGATTCAATCGGGCATCTCCTAACCCGATCTAGAAAAAAGCCAAGCGTTAATTTGTGGTAAATAAAAATTAAGTTGTTGGTTAATATATATGGCATGTTTGTTGTATAAGCCAATGTACTGATGTCAAGATTTTCACAAGTTTTCCTTGGAAAACATCATGTTGAAATGTTTTTTTTTTCTCCGTCCTTGAAATGTTGGTACGAGGGAAATTGTCAAAGAAATTAAAAGTAATTAATGTGGTTGTGGTTGGATTTAGAAACCGAGACATGAGTTGTGAAATAACATATCTCTATCAAGTGGTTGATTAAAGTAACATAAATCTCTAGAAACATTAGGATTCAAGCTTAAGCAAAACCAAGTCGGCCAACCCTGAAGTATTATTAGCTAAGCTAATATCACCCACCCACATCGATCCACATTAGTGAGGACCCATCACGATTCAAGAATCAATTTTCTTTTTGTTTTTTTTTTCTTCGTTTCTGCCCATGTTACAAACCTTGTTTTACTGGAGTTTTGGTGTCCTGAAATCTACGATACTGGAAAAACATGGTATCGGAAGAGTTTTTGACCAATCAAAATTCATCAATGAATTTTCATAAATTCCACTTGATTGGTTAAGATGTTTATGATGATACTGGTTGATTGATCACAATTTTTTGGGATATTATGTCTTTCTGATATTATCATGGTTTTTAAAAACGAACCGGTGATTGAATCGGTCAGGGGTCCGGTTACAAGTTCGAATGGTCCGATCGTTTGATTTAAACGGCCGGCTCGTTTTGACAAAAAAATAAAAAATTTAAAAAATTGTAAAACGGTCAAAACCGTTCGAACGATTAACCGGCCGGTTCAACGGTTTGCTAACCAAAATCAACGATTTTGAGAGAAAAAATGGTTTTGGAGGAAAAGGGAACCGGTCAAGTGATCGTTCCCAGTTTTTCTGGTCCGGTCCAGTTTTGAAAACAGTAGATATTATAGTCGAACCTGTTGAGCAAATTTATATAAATAATAGGAAATCTATTAATAACTTAAAATATTTATAACGAAAAAAAATCATGAAGTAACCTATATTTATATAGAGTTGTCAATGGATAAAGTCCACCTAATTGAACCAAACCGACCAAACTGATTATGAGTTTTAGTTCTGTGATTTGTGTGTTGATTGAAAATTGGGTTACGACTGGTTCTTGCTGTTCGGAAGTCGGAACTGATTGAGACCCAAACCCAGGTCTCCTGATTTTCTTGTAACGTTTGCTATATTTTATTGATTTATTCTATAATCAGCCAGTGAACAAATATGATTATTTTGTTCTATATCTAAATGGTATATAAACATAGAGCTGTCAATGGGGCCGCGTCCGGTTCAGGACGTGATGGAATTATTAATTTATAAAATAGATCCAGAATTGAATTATTTATTAACAATTTAAAACTTCATTTTTGATAATATAATTTTAATAAAAATAACAGTAGGAAATACCTAAATGGTAAATTGTTCATATGATGAAGTTGATAATTTTTTTTTAAGAATGTTGAAGTTGATAAATGAATGCCCATTAGAACTTAGTATTAAAATAATGAACAAATATGACATATCCATTGAATACCATATCCGCACTTATGTCATTTATGTTTGACACAAATTAAATTGAAAGGTTAAAGACCAGTTGGCGATCCAAGCAAATATGTTTTTATTATCATTTTGCAATATTTTTTGTTTTAGAAAATAAATAAATGTACCTTTCATTCTTGACAGTAAGGTTTAAAGTATCGAGACGTATCGGTCCGTATTGGTCGATACATATCATGCCGATGGTTTTTCGATATGCCCCTCCAAGGATTGTATTAGATCAGGCCATGGTTCAGAGAGTAATCGAGCCTTAAACTGACTCCTCTAAATCGGTCTTAAAAAAATAAATAAATAATACTTAAAAAAATATTGATACAGACTGATACGTCATCGATACTTTAAACCTTGCTTGACAGGTGTATAGATGATAAACCTTAAGTGCCAACTTATCAAAGTTAGCAAGGAGAAGGCAAAAAACTTTGGGCCCCTTAGAGAACCTCAAGGACACGGGTAAAAGCTTGAAGGATAAAAACTTTTTCGGTTCTCTTCTTTAGCTGCAAATAAGACAGTCAAAGGAATGGCGGGTCATCATCTTCAACTACACAATGGGCCCAGCTGTTGAGATGGTCACTTGGCAGCCCTCCAAGAGGAGGTGAGGGATCAAATCCATGGAACTGCAGGCTTCCTTGATATGGTTAATGGGTCTCATATGCCCACTCTGCCCCACCCCATTCCCTTGTAAGTTGTAACGTAGAAATCGGACTCAATCCTTACAAAACTTTCCTCAGACCGTATTCACAGCCACTAATTATGCATCTCTCCATGAATAAAAACAAGAGATGTTTCTGATGCACGATTGGAAAAGGCTGTAAACACATTGTGAGAATGGTGTTTGAGGACTGAATTCTGTCTCTGTAGTGTATACTATGTAATACCCAAAAGAAATGCATCTTCAATTACAGGAAGTTTCTCTTGTAGATAGTTTGTCTCAGACAACAATTTAGGGAACTAGACATGATTATTGGGGGCTATATGCCCAACATTTGCAATCTTTGCAAGCAATAAATTTGAGATTGAATGAGACTTTGAATGCAACTATGACTCTATGAGTAATAATACCATAGGATATATTTGCTTTTGGGTAGCAGTAGGGATGGCAACGAGCCGAGATTTTCACGAGTTGTTCGAGCTCGAGCTCGAGTCCAATTTAGTGGCTC